AAGTTTTCCCCTTTCTCAAATCGAGCCGATCTCAGATGCCTGTCTGTGTGACGTCACACAGACAGGCCCCTCCCACGATAGTTTGATTGACAGCAGCGCTTCAGCACAGACTGGAGGCACAGACTAAATACTGGGTGTTTCAGGTCTGACGACATCAAGCGGGCGTGGTTTGATCGCAAGGTCAAGGAGCATGCGCAGTTTACACGCTCCGCGTGAAGCCCGCGAACGTGAAAGCGGCACTTTGTTTAATTTTCGCACATTTCAAACAAGAATGATCATCACGTCTAACATTAAACAGTGGGGAAAGAAAAGAAAAAAAACTCATGTGGCACATTGATACTTGGGAAATATATTTCTTATCACTGTTGTTTCCAAACACAGACACTGTTGGTCTCTCTCTCTCTCTCTCTCTCTCACACACACACACATATAAATAAATGTATACACTTTTATATATTTATAATTTGAATATAATTTTATAACATGTTAATTATATATTTTTAAAAATGTACATATATTAGTATAAATACACGTGCATCTCTCCCTCTCTATATATACACACATTTATATTTAAAATATATAAATGTGTATATATATATATAAAAAAAAATAATAATAATATGCAGTACATTGCATTCTTAAATTTTTTTGAAAATGGAAAACTTCAAAATTCATTTTTACTTTCAGGGGCAGGAAATGGATAAACAGCTTAAATATTTTCTATCATCAATCAAACAGCTTATATAATTAACCATAAAAATTTAAGTCAATTTTTTTTCTTCATTTACTTAAAAAAATGAAAAAGATGCCATTTTCCAATTTTTCTGGCAATATTAAATAAAAAAACAATTGAATGCAACAGACCGGGCAGTAATACTTTGTTAATTTATTAACACTATAGTCAAGAAGAACTGACAATGAACATACTTCTACAGTATTTAGATGATTAATCTTAAAGTTAGACTAATTTTAATATTTACTAATACATTTCAGTTTGTTTGCATTAGTTAATACACTGTGAACTAACATTAACAATTGTATTTTATTAACTAAATTAGTATAAAAGTATATACATTTATACTACATATGAAAGATATTTTTTCTTAACTAAAGGCTACAGGCCTATATTGCTCATTAGTCCATGTTAGTATTAACTATAAAGTTAAGAAATGAGAGCTTCTTGTAAAGTGTAACCAAATGCTTGTTGTAGAAGTATTTCTATGAAAAGGTTTAGCAGACATGAAAAGAGAACGAGCGGGATTTTTAAGAGTTCAATTCGTTGATAGATTGACGGTTTGTGACATGAGGACGTCAACTTTAAGTTCATTTTCATATATTTCTAGCCATCATTTTTAATGCATATATTAAAAAAAAAAAAGACTTGTGTAATTTGACCAAACAGGATAAAGGCCACAAACCAACTAACACCACAAAACATGACAGCGTTCATCAAATCAACCGATACTTACAAATATAGCATTCAGATGCTTTCCCTCCAATAAATGAATGATGCCACTTGAAGATGTCGGAGACATATATGAATATACATTCAAACCAAGCTGATAAATACATCACTGTGATAAAATGTTTATCCTTTAAAATGTGGGTAATATTTAGCAGGAAGACATAAAACGATTCAAAACCAAATCGTAGGCCTATTTGAAAGTGATTCGATTGAAACACGTGATTCGCTTCGTTTTCTCAAGTTTGTACAAGTTTGTTTTTTTTGTCGCTCTAAGTAAAGCAAATTTATCGTGAAATATCGCTATATGACTGTATCGATTAATCGACATAAAAACCATCTACATTGTAATTCAATACGTGTGCGGTTCAAAGCTGGATTGCATTTGAAGGATTTTTTTAGGGCTCTGAGAAATGTGAATTTATCTATGATTGCCTATTGACAACTCTAATCACAAAAAGACTTTCACACAGAAACCTGAACCTTAAGCTGCAAACAGATAAGCGTTTATCACAGAAAACATTGACCGCTATTCGTGAATCAGCAATTATGCTACACTCCAGCAACAAGCCGGAAATGTTTTCACACATTTTATATTTCCTATTTTTTTAAGAGTGGCATATTCTTATGCGAGTGCTTCAAAAATAACCTACTTTTCCTCTCTTTCAGGAAACACACGTGCTCCTTCAATAAAGCTCAACAGGCCTGACTGAGGATGAATGATGAGGGCACCAAATCAAATGATGGAAAACAAAATGGCTAAAATTGTGCATCCCTTTGATTTCTCAAACATCATGACCTACATCAATCTGACAGAACATCTAAAGACGGCAGAAGACTTTCAGATCTACATCAATCTCAAGACTGTATTCAGGTGAATCTCACCAAGAATTGTCCAGGTCATGTTAACCTCCAAAATCAGAACGGTTTTAATTTATTTGATTTTGGGCCGAAATATGACCCGGCGTGTTCTTGACACATTCACCTCCTCAGGAACACGTCTACAAGAACTCCAGTTTCATCATCGATGTTTTATAGTTGTACAGATCTTGATAACGTGTAAAATATTAACTTTGCATCTATAGTTTCTGATTCAGATTCAATGAGGCCGAGATGTTTGATCTGATAAAATACAAACACACATGGCAAAAGCATCTGTAGCAAATCTATTTCATTATCAGCTGCAGCTTCCAGAAGAATCAGGACGTATTTATTTTGTAAATATCAGACACGTAAACTGAGATGGTGCAACATGCTTTTTTTATTATTTTGTTTGTCTCGTTATTTTTGTTACATTGATAGTGCAATATTTTTTTAAGGAAAACTAAAAATGCTCACATGATGAAATAAATGCATAAAAAATGAATTTAAAAAATGGAATCAATCATGAACATTCCTTTTTTTAAACCTAAAACAGTCAGCTAACATCAACACTGGGTCTTAATTCATAAACACAGTTCACGTTATCATTTCACAATCATCGTAATCAGGAGATTTAATTACGATTTCCATCCTGGGAAAAGTACATTTACTGTCAAGCTGAAGTGAAACTGAAATCACACCAGTTTCAGATCAAACCCACAGACATCACGCACTGTAGTGATATTCTGAACTTCACTGAAACAAAATTAGCAACCCTCAAATCTTCCCTTTTCAGACCTAAAAAACACCAAAACCAGCCATGAACTGCCACCAAACACCTGCAAGAATAAAACATGAAATGAACCATGCAGGACATGAGGTTTATTAAACATAAACAAAAACTAAACCGATCAGTGCATGAAAATGAACATTAAATATATTCAGGAAACTGAAATGTTCAAGAAAACAAATCTTCTTAATGCTGTGGTAATACTGATGAAACACTTGATGATGCATTTACTGAACACTGAAAACAAGGTTGTGTCTGGTTATTCAAGAAATTGTAGAGTTGTAAACAGAGTTTAAATTAGTGATTATGGTCCATTTCTTTCAGAAATATTGTAAAAGTGGTATTAGCTGACTCTAAAAACATTTTTGAGCCAATGTACCATCAAAATCTTGGTTTGCATCTAAGAAAATCACTTATATGGCTGAGGAGAAAACAAGCGCAAATACATCATGGCACCAAAACAAGTTATTTGGTCATTTTAAAAAAGGATTTAGTGATTTTAAAATGCGTGTGGCACATTATTGACTTTTCAGATTCACGTGAAGCAGACTAAAACTTACATTAGTTCTGAAATCAGCATGCGTTGGCACCGCTGTCAGTTTATTTGTCAGATGAGCTCATTGCAATTGCATAAGTGTATTAATATCGTTGTGATGTGTACAGGTGACATCAATATCTCGAGCACTGATGTGTAACGTGTTGCATCACATCTGCGGTCTCTATTAGTGTTTTCTGATATATAATTCAGTTTAGGAAATGAAACATTTTTTCTGATTTGGACACTCCTGCGCTATTTGGTTGTGCGATACTCAATCAATCATCTGAAGCATTAAATGCATTAAAAACACGTTTGAAAGATCCGGATCCGAGGCCAGGTGACCTGAGACAAACTTTGTACTTTGAGTCGTCTGCCACATGCACCGATGCTCCTTGAACCGACTCTGGCCGTGTGAAAAAAAGAAATCAAGCTCAATGTCTAAACACATGTTGGTTCATTATGACGTCTGGGGAGTTTACGATGAAAGCAGGGGCTGACGCTCAGCCTCGGTGCTCTGAAAGAGAAAAAAAACAGTTCGAAAAAGACATTAAAATACAGCAAATGAATTTACAGGCAGCACTGCATGTGGCCTTTGTGGAGAATTGCAATCACAGAATGTGTTGTATGGAAAAAAATATTATAACTGGACAATTTTAGGCAATATTTATGTGTGCTCTTGTGTTTTTATGCTTATTATAGTATCACTCAGTTAACTTATTTCAATGCCAACATAAATTCTATTAGAATCAAACGTGACTTGAGTTTCCTGTGCATTTCACATAAAAAATTTTACATGTATGACGAATTAGGGCTGATTATGTAGCATTCGAATCTAAAAACTAGTGCACTAGTGACCAGCGCTATTTTAGTATTATTTGTATAGTATTATAGTTTTTATTTAATATTTTGAAGTAGCTTTTATTTTCCATATTTTTACTATATATATATTATTATATATGTATGTCAGGAACCACACTCCAGTGGTTTGAGTTTTATCTCTCAGATAGGTCCTTCATGATATCTTGGAGAGGAGAGGTGTCCAAGTCACAACATCTAACTACTGGGGTGCCTCAGGGCTCAGTACTTGGACCACTCCTCTTCTCGGTCTACATGGCATCACTAGGTTCTGTCATTCAGAAACATGGCTTTTCATATCACTGCTATGCTGATGACACTCAACTCTACCTCTACCTTATATCAAAATCGTGGTTTGCATCAAAGAAAATATAGCAAAAGTGAAAACCACCTGCAAAGACAGCGTGGCACCTAATATTTTTTCGAATATTTTCGATTTTTTTTTAAATATTTAATTTTACATATACATTTATGTATTTAGAAGGCACTTTTATGTTTATTAGACAACTAGATTAGAAAGCAAGCTAAAGTTAATGAGAAATGCAGAGAATACATTTATTTTTCAGTTTTATTTTCATTTTATTTTAGTTGAAGTTAGTCATTTTAGTACTTAAGCTTATTTCAGTTAGTTATCAAGGCAACATTTCAAATTTTCATTTAGTTTAAGTTCTTCATTTAATATTTATATTTTATTTACATTTATGCATTTAGCAGACACGTTTACCTAAAGCGACTTGCAAAAGAGGAACAAAAGAAATTCATCAAAGAGTCAACAATACTTGTAAAATGTAATTCCAGGTTCATGAGACAAGCTAGCGAAGTGGTGAAATGCAGAGAAGAAAAACATTAATTAAATTTTATTTTATTAAATTTTTCTTTTCCTTTTTATACATGTTTTATGTTATTGCAGATTTATTTCAGTTAACAGAAATGTTTTTTAATAGTTTTAGTGAAGGAAGTGATGCGAGATCCTCACCGGTGGCATATGCTGTCGGCACATGAACACGATGAAGATGACGCCCAGTAAGATGCCTACACTGATCACTATGAAGGGGATGTTGACGATCACATTAGCCTCGGTAACAACCGCATACAGCTTCTTGGCAGATTCCTCGTCAATAACGACGCTCTGGAAAACAGGATGGACGCGTTTAGAAGATCAGAAGAGACAGAAATGAAGAAAAACACTTTCATATTTCCTGCTCAGGCGCTTCGTTGTTCTGTCCGATAATGTGAACTCAAAATAACTGCTTTAGAGTTAAGATCTCATTCGACAGAACTATGATCTTTTTCATTTAGTGCACTTTTATCCAGAAAAAAAAAAAAATCTAATCCTCTAATGCCGAGACTGGTTTATCTCTTTATTTTTATTTTTATTTTTGCCTTGTGTCGTTCAAAGGTTAATTTTGCATCCGGTTTGGACGCTTTATCTGTTGCACTTTGCACCTGATTTTGCATCTCAACAAAGCAACAAATACACATGTGATGAAAAAGTCAAGACTGGGACTGCAGCTTCACAGAAATCATGATATTAATGTTTATAATATCTTATTATCTTCATGCCTTACAGTTGCATTTAGCAAGTTAGATCTGGATGATAACAGAGTTGAATTTTGTGACGATATATAAACAATCCAGCAGTTGAGGTTTGCTATATGATATTTGTGGCTTTATGTGAGAGTGAAAAAAATGAAAGTGACATTTTTCAGTAATTTTTCTGGGAAGCGAGTCCATGACCTTGACATTGCAACTATTTGAGTTTAACTATTTAAACTGGACAGGAACACGTGTTCTGACACGTAGACAAACTTGACATGCTATAAAAGCCTTGTAGAAAAATACAGATGATGATTTTCTAAAAATTTACCTCATTAAGGTACATCACTGGAAACACCAGCGTCCGGATCTTGCCAGTTTGACTGCAAAACAAAAAAGAAAATATGATTTTGATGGTATGTGAAGATGCTTTGAGCAGGTTTATTATAGAAAACTAAAACTGTAATAAAGAT